TTTCGTGTTGTTTCTCATGTTGAGGATTGACGATGGGGAACTTTAGAAAAACGCACGAGTTAAAAATATGTGATGTGGATTTCCATTTTTCGACTGGGATGATATCGATCCGCTCGCCACTTTTCATTGGAGAGTTTACACGTAATATCAAGAGGTTAATACAGCTGTTTATGTGAACGGGCTAGCTCCTATCCTCTTGTGTAGGAATTATTTGTTCATTGCTCTYTAAGTTATATCGTATATATCTTTATATACATGCTACACTGCTCTAGCCATATTCAGTTATCCCTTAGAACTAGTACAAAATTTTATAAATTCTTTTAATTGGATACAGGTTGCGCAAGTATTCATAGTTTTATGCCCATCTACTTGCATCTAAATAAGGGGATTTCTTAGATTTTCAATGATACAAAGCTCTTTAGAGTGGGCCCTGACGCGATCTCRACGGATTTAGTTCTAAGTAGCTGTCTATTACGGCATGATGCAGCTGCAAAAAGGAATGGTGACATCACAAGTTATGTCAAGTTGTTTTATTCCTATATGCATATTAAATTTAACTGCTTCATTGATGTATTTTAAATATATATTGGATAAATGAGATGGGGWTAACAACCGCCCCAAAACATCTCTATACTTTGCGTGATCGTCTGATATAGTTTTTTCGGTTCAAAAATTAGATACTAAGCAAAGAAAAAAGAAAAAGCTTTAGGATTTCCTGTGTGCACTACCCGGMCTTTACCGCTGTGAGAGCCAGGGGAGAGGGTGTATGAGTTTCTACGTAGGCACCGTAATTTTCTCTCTTCAGTCATGGGAAAAAATTACTAATATATACTATCATAAAATAATTCTATTCCTTTTCCGCCATCCCATCACTCACATCATCCCGCCCCACTCGTTTCTTTTACCCCTTACCTAGGAAGTATATATATTCCAAAAATAACTGCAAAAAATCTAAAATTAAACAGACAATACGATGTCAAACTAGTGGGTTTGTCACACAGTGCGCAGCCGCTCAGTTCAATTATAATTTAGAAAAAGAAGTTCTATTTAAAGTGACGGCTAGGAGATCAATATTCGATCGATTAAGCTAGAATTGTTTCACTGAATGACCAATTTCTGAGTCAGCRAGAGAAATTTTCTTAACTGTTTTACACTTCGTTAATATTTCATGAACTGCGGCGATGACATTAAATTGTGAATGTGGTAGAAATATAGTACAAAAAAAAGTAATAAAATGAAAAAAACAGAGATAAGAGTTAAATGATATCAAGATACCTTATAGAGCACCACCTTAGGTATTAATGTTACCGAAAAATCAAGAGATTTTTAGCAGAAAGAATTATATAATGTATTTTTATCTCAACCGGCAGGTGAGCTGGTATTTTTTTTCCAACTGCAATATATAAATATATATATATTCCAGACATTGTCAAATGACGTCATTTTTGCTTTATCCCTTAGTTTCCATCACAATAAGATTTACTAAGCGAGGGCGTTTATATCRCATCTCTACTAGCGGAGTAAAATACGTGCCATATGCCAGTGATTCGATTTACGCCCGCGAACCGTTCTCTCATTGGACAGCGAGGTCGYCAATTACGTCATCAATCCGCTCGAAAAGACTCTGGATTTGTGTTTTGTTTGAATCAATCAACGCAGTACAACATAAAATACTAAGAAAGAAAGGGCATTGGAATTACTACCCAGAAGTACTGACTAAGAGACTGAGGATATAGGACTATTTCACTTGTTGACTGCTGGTCAGTTAGCTGGATTCTCTTCACATGACTATTGACGGTGGCTCGATGCAAGTTGGAGAAGTTCGTGTWGCGAGAGCGGAAGATTTTGAACAGTTTCGTCGTTTAGCGGAAAGTACTGAGAAATGGTCATTGTTATATGACAGACATGGAATTAAAGTCTATTCCAAGTTTACGGAAGGGATTTCGGTTAAAATGTTGAAGGTAAGCTTCAAAAAGCCGTCACGCGCTTACAAAATGTGACTCGTCAAGCCTGGTAAAAATTGCTGAATTGAAGAAGTACTTATAGTCACTTTGAAACCTAGGTGAAAGTGGTAATATATAAAGAAATGAGCTTCTATAACCTTCGGTATTATATCATAATAATTACTTTGCTAGTTTTTAGAGTATCGAAGTGTAAGTCGCCGCACAAGGCTACTTGTATTAAGCTTATAGCTTACTACGGGACAATATTTTGCATTTTGGGCAGCTCCCATCTTTACATTAAAGATGTTAGGATTCCTTGAATAATTTTCCTAATACCAGTTACTCAAAAGAAATAGTAAATAAACTTCTAAGCCTTTTCCTCTAAATTCACTATTCYAACGATTTCGACATTTGCAACTGAAGAAGTGCTATTACACAACTTCTAATTTGAAATTCAAAAGTCACTTTTTAGCAACTTAAGTTATAACATGTTAAAACTTAACTTACTAAGAATTGATTAAATCCAAAAAGTGAACTCATATCTGTCAACTGAATTGAGAAATGTATGAGAAGATGGCTATTTATTGAGAGATTTGGATAACCAGTTAACTTCTTCCTTCAAATTTGCATAATATAACAGCACCTAACCAAATAGTGCTAAAATTATGCAGTCTTAATTCGAGTTTCATAAATCTTCTCAGTAATTTCTGCTTTAAAAACGTTTACAATAGATTTTTTTTTCTATTGATTTTCAGGGATTTTTTTTCAAATGATATTTTTGCGTTTATTCAGTTCCATTTCTTGGCATTCAATTGACTTCAGCAGGAGGGCTGCCCACTACTTTAATAATTCATCACTTTGAAAAAATCCTACATAAACATAGAGGATCAAGATATCATTGTTTAGATGAATTACATTAKCTTATTTTCCTTAGGCTATGTCTTTAGAGCTTTAAAAGAAGTGAATTTTTTCAGAATTAATAATCATACTAACTAGCTCTTGTTGATAAAGATCTTGAAATACTTTTCTTTTGATAAATGAGAAAAGCTGGTATCTCATTCACAAAAAAACGTTGTTCTTTAGGACCACAGTAATATTCAAAAGATGTTTTATTCTTGATAGTTGTTTGTGACATTGTTAGTAAACAAATGTTGTTTAATAGACATGAATAAACTGCCACCTTTAATCAGATGTTAAGGATTGGATTTGACTTGCAAAGCATGAAAACCTCAATACAAACATGGCTTCCTTTGTCCAAGCAGCCAATCAATGGCCATAGAGGGTTAAAAGATGATAATGAGAATGTGCTGAAACAGTTAAACATAGTCATTATCTGCATCTGATGTACGTCGTTTGAATATAGTATATAGTTTGCTAAAAATTGAAATGATATTAACATTTAATGAATAACAATTCCTTATTGATGCAAACTTGACGCCACTTTCTATTATATAGKTTTTATGATTTCTTGTGCTGATTGTTGCTATGGTAGCTTTAAAGTAACTTTACAAATTAGAAAAAAAATAGATAACAGTTTGCAGAGTATGTTCTGTTTAAAAAAGTCATATTGTTTTTTTTTATTTTATTACTATTTTTTTTTTGTTATAAGTCAGTACTTTGAACTTTGGCCCAAATTGAATCCAGGTGACTTAAATGATGTTATTTAAAATGGAATTTGTACTAGAGTATTCTAATCATGCTTTTCTTGTAGCTTCTTGAAGCTTCCATAAGTTCCGTGAAAATGTTATTTGAGGACAAAAAAATTGCAAAGGCAAAAGGTTTCGTTTCATATATCATAACGATATCCATACATGTCAGTACATGAACATGAATGTACTTAATTGTTTGCTTGAATAGGTGCCACATTTTATTTTGCATGTATTTTAACTGAATTATAGTATTAATGGGCTACATRGACATTGATGGTGGTTATTTTAGTGGGAGGTATAATAATATAAAAACATTTTTCCTGTATTAAATGCTACAACTGATGAATTAGAAAGATGAAACGCGGCTAGACATATGGCACATCATTAGATCGGAACAAAAATGTCAGCTTATAAGGAAATTTCTGTGCATTTTTGATTATATTCTTTCATGTCCATATTGCTAATTTGTCTCTTGATATTAATTGGTTTGTGGTGAACTGAATGTTAAAGAATAAATTGATGCTGAAACCCATATAAAATTGTGTGTTTTCTAATGATCTCCTGCCAAAATGGTTCCATATCATTAAGGTTTTCAAAATCAATTGCAGCTGTAAGTCTAACATGAATAAATTTATAATTTCAATGGAGCCTTATTTTCAGTTCTTTATCCTTCTTCATTTGTATGAAATATAAAAGCACCTGTGTTTGGAATTCCCAAAATACTAGTTACTGCTTCCTTGTAGCTGCATTAATTTAATCAACACTAATTCATTCAGGAACAGCATCATTCTATAGTGTGCGATGTATATTACAAAAGTGGGTTCTAAAATTGTTTTAATAAATAACAATATGACATAACTTCCTGTCATTGCTATTAAAAGAAATAGTCCTCATGCCATTATTTAATTGACTTTAATAATTTTACTCTCAATGAAATGATTGACAGGTTGTGACCAACTTCAATGAAATTCCATTTATGGTGATGTACGATGTTCTTCATGATCCAGAGTACAGACGGCAGTGGGATGAAAACATGATAGAGTGTTATGAACTATGCCAGTTAGATACTAACAATGACATTGGTTATTACTCAGGTAATAGTTTAATTTCATATCCACAGAATGTAACCTAAAATAGAGGAAATATTTAGCAATTCACCCTCCGGAGAATAACATACACGCATGCCATATAAATACATTTAATGTATTACAAGTATAAGAAAACAACAGATCYTCACAGCTAGTGTTTGATTGAGAAAACCTCTAGAGCTAAGAAAAGAAACAGCTTACAAACTCAATTCATACTCTGGTAGATTGGTGACTGAATAAATTTAGTATTAAAACTAAATTTGATCAAGATAAGGTTGACTCTTGGTTTGCCGATTATCATTTATGGGATGTGGTTTTCTCYCTTTGAGGGCTTTACTGGGCTACTCTACCTAAAATATTAACCACTAGCTGTAGTATTGCTGTGCATACTTACAAACCTCAAATTAGAGTAAGTGTGCTAAATCTAAGGGGATATCATGTGAGAAAATCCTTCATTTTACCCTTTTGGGATCYCTCTGGTATCCTTAGAAAACAGGTAGCCCAAACCTATAAAAAAGGCAAAAAACTACAAAAGTTAATGAATGTTTTTTCTAATCTGCAGTGAAGTGCCCAACACCAATGAAAAACAGAGATTTTGTGACTCAAAGATCTTGGTGTTGCAGACCTGACGAGTTCTTCATTATAAATCACACTGTCCACCACAAGGTAATATTTTCAGTAATAACACAAGAAATAATTATTACAGTCAACTTACAATAGTGCCATCTTAGTCAGTTGTTGTCTTAGTCAATCAGTTAACCAGACGATTTTGCTTTTGTGCTTTCTAGGCAGTTCATATCAAAAAAGGTTTTATAAGAGGAGATTCCATACTTACTGGATACCATGTTAAACATAAAYCTTCAGGCTGCTCTATCACATATGTYACACAAGTGGACCCCAAAGGTAAAACCATTTGCTAGTTTGCGTATCCCTTTGTTTATACTCTTATCGCTTTCCAGTGCGCTTGATTAATGAGGTTTGTATTTCAACAGGTACCCTTCCTAAATGGATTGTTAACAGAGTGTCAAGCAAAATAGCACCCAAGGTAAAACAAAGCTGGATTAAAAATTTGCTTTATTTGTTGTTGTTGYTGTTGTTTTTTTAACACAGAAGACAGAGCCGAGGGAGCCCAAGAGGGATCTAATGTTGATTTGTCACTCATTGTTTGACCCACTTTCCAGAAACAAATTCTCATTCTCTCTGTTTTTGGTAAACTTTTGCATGCTTTTTTAGTTGTACATGGTTGGCACAGGCCTTAAAAAGTCTTTGAAAATGCATTTGATCCTAAAAGCTCCTTGAAATTTCCAAAAGTTTTTTTTTGTCTTGAAAAGTCCTGAATTTTTTCCCCTCAAATCTCAGTGTGAACCAATTTAACTTGTTGTCAAAAACCCTTGGAAGGCTTGAAGAYAGGCCTGTCATGCTGYTTGAATGATGTAAATGAGCAGCTAAAAGCACATTGGTTTAGTAGTGTTTCCATATTTCTCACTAGGTTGTGCACAAACTCTATAAAGCCGCTTGTGGGTATACAGAATGGAAAGCGAATCATAATCCTGACTTCAAACCTTGGCTCAACCCAGACCAGAATAAACTACCGATGGTCAACAAAGATGACTTGGAATTCAATAACTATGTAGAAAGCCAAGCTGAAGAGGAAGARCAAGAATCAGAGTTTATAAGAGATGACCCTGAAACTTACTCTAGTGAGGACAACCTGGATGAATTTTTATGACACMAAGGTTTAAGAAAATGAACGTTTAATAGCACATAAATCAACAGATGTATTATTTTTGCTAGTGAATACAGGATATGAAGAAATTACAAATTAATTACTGATATTYGAGATTTTCCTTGCATTTGGTTGAATAATTTATTTATAGTGTTATTTGATTTCTGTTGAAATGATTGTTTAGTATCGGTAGATAGTAGCTGAATTCCCTTTGATATACTACTTGCCAACACATACTACTGTCAAAATAATGTACTTTTTGTATATTGTAGCRATTAGAAACCAAATAATATTATAAAAGTGAAGATACAAAACCCATAGACAAAATCCAAATGCCAAAGTTGTAATCTGACAAATAGTTTTGTCAATAAATAGACATAAAAGAATGACTTAATTTCCTATAGGTTTTGTGACTTCACCATTAAATAATACTAGGTAAGATTAGGATAGAGTCAAGCCTTGTAGCATTTTGGGGGGGTTTTTCTCTCTCACAGTTACGTTTTTCTTTCTTAAAAGTTTGTGTTGAGATTGCATTTATTGTTCTTGTTTATCATCATTCATTCTCGTTGTGTCAAATAATGTAAGCAAATTACTTTTTCGTCAGAATTTATCTGTAAATTGCTTTCCGTAGTTTATTTGGCTCTCGAGTCTGTATGTCATGGAGCTAATTTGTTTCACCGATGCATTAGTTGAACCCCTAAAATGCTTTCAATGGTTGCATTGTTTTTGTATCTGCTAATCTTGCTGGTTGAGAAAGCAGTAATGTTATTATTTGATTCAACACAATAATATTTATAATACACATGTTGGCACATAAGGCTTAAATGATTGAAAGTTGGTGTCARCATTGCATAATTATATAGCTGAAAATAACCTTATCAGAAGATGATTTTGTCTTCCAAATAAGCAAATGTGTAAAGTTTTAGTCATGGYAGAGGTTGCATAGCGAGAAAATTATGGAAGGAAACTGTTGGTACTGATAGTATTGGTGGGAATTGACACACACAAAACTTTCAGTGTTTGGATTCTGTTGCTAATGTATTTTCACAGATGTAATATTAAATGATATAATTGTGCTGGACACGATTATATTGCAGTTTAAAATTTCAAAACAATCACTTCACAATTAATTCTTGTACACCTCTTTGTAGCAGAAATAATGTTAGAGTTTAAGACAAAATAAAATATATTTTGAAGGGAAGATGTTTTGTTTGTTTTCTATTATTCTACTGTACCTTTTGAAATAATAGGTCACACATCCTCTTAATGCTAATGTTTAAATCAAATATTGTCAAACCTGAGACAGGCAGTTGTATGTCGTTTCTCAAAGGTGCTTTGGTGCCAGTGGCCAGTTTCACCAAGGGTGGGTAAAGTTATCCTGGATAAGGAATTATCTGCTGTTGGATTACAGTAGAGTGCATGCCACATAAGCAATGAAACATCTTAAGTAATTAGAGTAATAAGATTTAGTTATCAATTAACTAAGAATTTAGTGAGGCATAAACAAAGACAAGTTTCCTTTCTGGCATTGTGTTCATGCCCCAGTGAATTCTTAGTTAGTTGATAACTAAATCTTATTTTATACATGTATGTTGATAGTTAAGAATTGTTTCATGCTTTTTCGGCGTGCACTCTATTCACCCTCTGTCCATCAACTCCAGGGGTTTGCATTCCTGGAAACATAATTTTCTATTATGCAGATTATAGTTTATATTTTAATATGTTCCTGGTCCACAMTGACACTAACAGAAGCATAACTCAAGAGCAAAAGAAAAGACGAATTAAGTCTTAGCATATAATATGGCATAAGATCTCAACATAAGCAGCATAGCAATTAGCATAAGGCTAATTGCAACTAATTAAAATGTGAAAAAATGACTCCTTTTATCTTCATCATTATCATCATCCTTTTAAATCTGTATATCTTTTGTAGTTTGCATTTGTGGCATTTTTAGCCTTGGATTGACTGTGTCATTCAAGTCTAGGGACTTTGTCCTAAGACCCATAATGCACAAGGGGCAGGTTAAGCTAGGAACGCCTAGTTGATACTTGCTGTCACGTTTTTYGCCGAGTACGAGAGAATACGATCAAAAACTGCCCAGAAATATGGCTAATTTAGCAAATGATCCAGAACTAGCTCGTATGCTTCAGATTGAAGGTCAAAGGGCCAAGTTTCAGTCCCTAGTCCATAATTTAACGGAACAGTGCTGGGAAAARTGCATGCCAGACAAGCCAGGGAACAAACTCGACTCCAAAACAGAAACTTGTCTTGTTAATTGTGTGGAACGATTTTTAGATACGAGTTCATTYGTTGTTAAACGTCTTGAATCTTCGTCATCATCATAACTGATCTAATGTGCTTAYTGCTATTGTGACATTTAGTAGACGAATACTTGAACAAGATGGACAACTTATACAACTTCAGGACTTTTATATATTGAGCACACTGAATCCTTTCAAGGAAAGCAAATAAGGACAAATAATGGGTGGAATTGACATGACATAYAAGGGTTTCATTGTATCCATGAGTTTTGGATTTCTACATCTGGCAACCCTTCTTTGGTAACCTACTTTGGACTCATGGGTGCTGATGRACAAAAGAGTGTTGGCCACCAACAAAATGTCAATGAAGGAAGTAACAGTGAATAGGGAAAACTGTGAAAAGGGGACAGTGTCCAGGGCAGAGGTTATGCAGTCTCACTGACACACTTATGAAAGAGTCAGGCGTGCATCATGGAACYTTTGGCTAATATGTATATTTTGGATAGGGGGGGAGGTGGGCTAACGAGCGCTGAAAATTTGCAATAATCTTGAAAATGAAATTTCCAGCTTTTTTGGGGAATCGAGAGCATATAAAAGGCATCAAAACTCTAAAATTTTCCTTGCCACTAGTATGCATGTGCGTATTGATGGTTTTCACCCATTCCCATGAGATTCAAAAGATAAAAGACCGGCGGCCATGTTGGAGGAATGAACAATAGATACTAATGAGAAATCCTTTGTTAAAGTTCCTCCAAGATGGCCGCTAAGACGTAACCTGCAAACGAAGAATATGCATAAAGGATGCTATGAACCAGGTAGTCAGTACGTTTCCATCAAAAAGCTTATATTTACTTATTTGTGATCATAAATTTTGAATAAAACAGTCATAATAGTACAAAATAAAAATTAGTCATAACATTTTTACAGCACTTCTGATGACAACACCACATTCAGGGACTGGAAAGTAGGTGGATCTAACTTTGTGTAGAAGACACAAGAAAATCCTGCCACCTAAGCTTTATGGTCCYTTTCAGGGTATAAAGGTTCCTTGCTGGAACTCCCACCAGCTGAAGGTTTTTGTTGCTAGGCTGAAACTAAAGTTTTAGTCATATACAATGGAAAACGTGTTATGGCCTTACTTGAGCGGGAGCCGATCGTCGCGCAACCAAAGATGCCCGAAATAGAACGTTAATATGAATCGACATTGTTTTAAAATGTCTTTCCTTACTTAGATACTATTTTGGGTTCTTTTATTGTACATTTTAAAACTCCCGCTCATTTGGTGCATCAAAGACCTTAATTGAGCGGGAGCAGATCGTCAC